AGTAGGAAAATATCTGCTTTTTTGTTGTGACATTTATTACGCTGAAATATTTTTGTACAACGTTTTACACTTATACGACTGTGTGAAGACATTACAAAACAAGTTCTATCGCAATTCGACAATATTCTGCTGGTTAGTCATTTTCTATTCACAGGCCTTGTACAACTTTCTATTTCCCTCCCATTGTGCTGTGGCAGTTGACGGCACATTGATTAAGGCTAAGTACTGGCCCCACAATCACAGTGTAATTGTTCAAATTTTTACGCCGTCTGAATGAGAAGATGGCCTGAAATCTTGCAAAGCTTACGTCTACTAATAACTTGTGGGCAGAGCAGTCCCTGTGGGTCAATTGGGACGAGGTGTGAAATCAAAGGCTCCAGATGGCAATAAAACGGCTCATGCGTTTGCGGCAACCATATTTGGTAGAAAATACACACGTGTGGCAAAGATAGGCCAGCACGTCGTGGCACCTTTCATCCCACCGAATGAATTACAATACGATTCTTAGAATTATTACTGGACACCACGGGTTTCTGGCACAGCCATAGCTAGGTGCAAGCCTCATGGTGGCCTCATGGATACAAAGCCCCCACTGTCTAAGCCTAGACATTTACTTAACAAAGTCTATGAACTAATGAGTCTCTGGGATTATTGTTTGAGAGTTCGAGTTCGCTAGTTAATTTTTAACATACTAGAAAAGTTGTCTAAGTTGTTATTGAATTGCTACGACGACAAGTGCTTGTGAAAAAAGACACTTGTCAGGTCCGATTGTCCTATAAAATGCCAAGAAAATGCGTTCGCAAAAACATGCAAGCCTGAACGACAATACACTTTGTTGCAGCTTAACAAAAGGGAAGAAGTAAGTGCACAGATTGTCTAAGCCGGTGTCCTTGTTTTGCTTAGCAGGGCGAAAAATGCACAAGACTAATTACCCTGCGGCTCCACCGGTGCATACTGAGGCGACCCTCTTTAAACCGACTTTCTGACCATTGGATTGCTGCCATAAACTATCGCAGGAAGAATAAAATCCCTTGATTTTCTAGACGATCCTTTGCAACATATCAGGCATCAATGCTTTTGCATTGTAAAAAACTAAAGGTTAGCAACAAGAACTGAAAATGAGACTCACTTGGAGACCTCTCATGCAGCCCCTCTTTCCCTCTCTGATCGTTTAATTCCTTAATGGGGACATCGAATACGAGACTATGAAGATGTCCGAAATGGTTTATACAGAGATAATCTTAAGAACATACGGAAACTACGATTAACATACTGTTGAATTTTAAACAAGTGATTTTGGAGACCGAATAAGAATAACTTCTACGCAAACTCTTATCCCACCAAGCCCTTTAGCCATCAGAATTATTTTTGTGTAAGATACTAATGTTGGTTGGTTTTGATATTTCAAACTCAGCTGTTCCTCAGACGCAGGGGATTAAACGATTAAAGCTTTTTGCATCTCGCATTGCACAACCTGCTTCGCTGTTAACTGATGTCGTTCGCATAAATTCATGGAACTTCAGATACTTATCAGGACTCATCTAAGTGCGATTACCTCCCATTTTGAAGGGTAGACCCAACTTCTATTGCCAGAACTGTTTTTTTAAAACGCATAAATAACAGCACAGCTCAAAGCATTTGAACCCAAACGCTTTAACCCTGAAAATGTTTACCTACAAATTTGCATCAAAAGCGGTCATTTTATGACAGGTTAGAGCAACTCTTTGAACATTTAGTTCGATGAATTCATTCGTTTATAGGCTAACGACTCAAGGAAAATCATCTGTGAACTTTTCATTAATGCTACTCTGTTTCAGCGATAAAATAATCCAGAGGTATCGGGAAACATTTACTTTTGTGTGCGGTTTATCAATGGGGCTGCAAGAAAGTGGCTCACATGTAGTAAATGTGTTTCATTAGCTAGAAACACAGACCAGTGCTAGCAGCGCCCCTCAAGCACACGATGTCCACACTACGTACCGAAGTAACCATTATAGAAGCTGTACTTTCGTTCTTGCTGATTAATTTTTTGGGTGAGGTTTTGGTGTCTAGGCTATTCCATCATTAGGGTGCCGATGTAGCTTCTTCACTTTTGCTTTTGACCAGTGTCACTCTTTAGGGCTACATTTGCATTGCCTATTGTCGCGTTTAAAGCAGAGACAAAGCTAAACATAAAACACGCTTCGCACCCGATAAGCTAAAGATGTCAAAGTGAAACGTACATACTACTTTAGATGGCAATTATAACTTGTTAGAGTCTAAAATCGCATTTACGTTTTGGCGGGTGTGAGGAGGAGAAGAAATCCAGCATAAGTTTGACCAGTGCAGCGAAGGCAACACTATCAGGTGTCGAGAGCTTCTTCCATCTAACTAAGGTGGTCTAAAGATACAAGGGAGTTCCACTTCACTGAAAGTTGATAATCAGAAAGGGAACCTTGGACTCTTTGCATGTAGTTAAGGCCAACATCGCCACTCCAAAGAACAAAGATTGGGCGTACTTTGTATTAGCTCAATTTAGTAGATAGTAAACGACCATCAAACGAGAAGAGACAACTAACCCTCACCAGTGGCCCAAAGTAACGGCACAACAAACTGGATTTCTCGCAAAAAGCAATAATCTTTATAATGTGCCCGCTCTGGGTTTACACAGTGTTAGTCATTAAAAAGGGCGTGAAAATTTACCGCTCGCCATTGCACCACCAAAAGTAGAGAGCAAAATTGAAACCGAATCCTACTTTCGCGGAGCAAACGATTCCCACAATCCAGGGGGTCCCTATTCGAAAGATAGTGGAGAAAGGAACTACAAAACCAAGTGCAAATCATTTTCAGAATATCTAGATATTGAAAACACGCCACCATCGGCTTTGGAACTTCCATTTACTTCACTCGATTACGTAAAAGAATCAACTTTTATGGACTCATAGAATACGTTGACTAAGCATCAAAGGTAGGACAAAAGACTCCTACTTGTTTGAAAAAGGAGTCAAGAATGACAGTCAAAAGCGATTCTGTATCTTTCTAAGGATAAAGAACTTTGGAAAACCGTCTAAAATGAATCGAAACACACATTTACACGCATCAGAACATTAAGTCCTCGTCATGCACTGGGTGTCTAGGAAATAAAAATCTCGGGCTTGACTCACCTCTTTTGAAGGCTTTTTAACATAACTCAAATCGCTTTAACATTACACTCTTTTGATGCTTTGCGCAAAGTAATTTAAGCTTCTAGGAAGCTAATTTCAAGTAATTCCTTTATGATTCTTTTGGGTAAATGGTTGTTAGAATGAGCGACTACATTAGCATAGGGGAAGCAATATAAAGATTAGTCGAATTGCATTGTGCTTTAAGCTACGACATTTGGGACCATAAGGAAACTGACATTACGATTGTTTGACTTATTGGCCAAACTGTGCTTAGACCGAAAATGTTCGGGTTGAGTGGTGCACTGGGCTAGGCTCATAACAACCACGAAGTCCGCATCTAATCCTGTGAGACTTATTTGCATAAACCCTTTGCGTAGCAGAGCCGATGAAAGGCGAAAAATGTATTTTCAGTAAGTCACTAACGTGACTTATTACGGTGCACAAGACCTGCACATTAAGCATTTTGAAAAATTACTTTAGGTGTACACTGCAAATCTCGTAAGGGATTACAGACCTACCACAAAGAACATCCGTGGTTAGGAAATTTTAACAAAAAGTAGACTGTCACTTCCTCGTTAAGCCAAACCTTTACGAGGCGCCTGCTCAACCAAATGTGCAAGTTTAGCTGGTTGATTGGGAGAAGCGTATTTCCATACTCTCGCTTTCGCAAGCGAACAGCCGTGTCTTTGTTCCCCGATTTTAACTCATCTTCTCAACTGAATGCTGTAAACGATCTTACTGTCCCCTGTGCATGTTGAATGTCGTCATGCATAACATACCACTGTGCGTTACCACTTATTGAAATGATCAGAGACAACTCTTAGCATCATAACTCCTTGAGAACTAATTTTCTTGGAGTTACATTGTTTCAAGAGGACACCCTGACTTTTAAAAAGGCTGGGTAAGTATACGTCGTTACTACCCACTACTCTCTTTGTTGGGCTCATATGTAGGTGTCCTTATTACATTTAGGTTTCACTTTCATCGGCCACAAAATTCTTCCTCTTACCCAAGAATTTCCACCTTCGTAAAGTTCGCACATCTGAAACCGCAGTGTTTTCTCTGAATAATTACGGTAACCGTAAATGCCAAAAATGCAATTAAATCACCAAGCTTCCGCAACCATTTTGCGGTATTTTGATCGATTCTGGATCTAACGGTGCAGCATGTTCAGCTAAAATGGGGCATCATAGAGGTTGGAAATGAAATATTATGTCAGCATGTGAAAGTACGACGCCTTTAAAAAGAGAAAATTTTTCTCAGGACTAAATAGCGCGAGCAAGCAGTAGAAACATGCACACCCAGTTTCGAGCAGATGGGCAATAAGTATCTGAAATCCTGATTCGAACTGCTACTAAGAATCAAACATTAACGTAAGGCATTCTTTCCACCACTTTTGAATGGTTTGCAGACGGCACTGTGAGTCCATTCCTGATTTGGAATTGGTAAACAGAAAACTTGTCGCAGTTGCAGAGGAGTAAAGGGACCCTGCTGAGGTTCCTAGACCATCAGGCCACAACTACTATGGCACTTCCTTGCAGGGAAGCAAAAACGTAAAATTATAAAATGGCGAATTAACCGGCATTCTTGAAGGCGCCTGCATTTTGTAACTTGCGACTGTAGACAAGTGAAAGTAGCCCTCTTTAGTGTATTTTCCGGTACGGATAACGAGTGGGACCTATGAACGGTTTGTCTTAAGGAACACTGCCACAAATCAATTGAATATGCTGATCAATTACTAACATTAGCTTGATAATATGGCGTTTTCATCATCGGTTTAAAGAAAAACAAAAGTAAGTCGGTTAAGAGCAATATATAATGAAGATAAAAAAGTAGAGGCGCCACAGTACACATACGTTATGAAACAAAGCCAGGATTATCAATCCCACCAAGGCACACATCAGCAGTCCGACGCAAACGATTTTCTTCCCGAGTTGATTTTTGGGTGGTTGAGCGATCAGAGGGCCCATCAGATAAAGTTTTTGACAAGTAACCATTCGTAGTGAGACAAAAAATATCAAAGTTTTGGAATAAATTTGCACAGGTGCGTCCCTCAAACAAGTCAGTTTCTTGGTTGAGAAACATCACCGGACAAATATTTTGACGTTTGCAAAAAGCTGCAAATGACTCACACTCAGTTAGATGATCAATCACACTCGGTCGCTCATAAATTACGAAGAAAACAGGCCGATAAGCTCTGTGAAGATGCTGCCTAAGATTCACAGATGTGCTAAGGAGTGGTGATTTGGATTTTATACTTTGCTGACGTTTAGCGACATCTCTTCGTTGAACCAAAGAACTTGGCGATTGCTCTATTTTTTGAACTTTCGAAAGAGGCGAGCGCACTCGAGAACCAGTTCTTATGTTACTTACAGCAATTGTTTCTTCATCGGGTAAGAAAATGTCGTAAAAAACAGGCCTGACTCCTATTTCACTATTACCATTCGCGAAGATAGTGGCGTCATTCAAATTCGTGTTTTCATACACACCATCTGGAAAAAAGGTAGACGGCTCTGCATTGGGGAGAACAATAAGATTGCGGTAGCCGTAGATATCAGGGCGCTTGATTTCCAATTCAGCAGAACATGGTGCCAAGAAATGTGTCACAATATTCAAGTTATGACAATTTTCACCACCTACTTCGTTATGTCGAAGTCCAGGTCGGGTCCAAATTTCGCCAAGTCGCCAAGAAAGCTGCTCACCAGTGCCAGTCATGGGTGAGGTTTTAATACATTTTGTTTGAGAGGACGGCTTACAGCTAGTATCATAAAGAAGCTGCAGTGTAAGCTCGTTTGGCGAGAGGGAAGATATGCGTCCGGTTCGGATTGATCGTATAAGGACGTCTGCAACGTAGTCTGCAGCACTATGAACCGCTTTCAACCCTTGAAGAAATCCTATCTGATACTCATAAACAACACACAAGTGCTGGGCAAATCTTGAAATGCTGATCCTACGCTCAGACTCAGTGGTGCTTCTAAGGATTAATAAAATTCGAAATTGTTCAATGTCGTGAAATGGGGAAAAGGGAAGATCTTTTACATCCAACCCAGACAAAGACTCATCTGAAAAATCGGGGAAATGCAGCTGAGGAAACTCCGACTGAGATCCCTCTCCCAAGTCCGAATTTGACTCAGAACATTCTGATAGTGGAATCCGTTTACCTGACAAAATGCGAGTCAATGAGATGCGCATCATGAAAGGGGAATTGGTTAAGGAACGTACTTTTGGGGAACGGTTTTGATTAACCAATCTTGGGAGCATTTTGCTCCGTCGATGCACACCACATTCAAAGTCCGGAGTTTTACCGCTTAAGGATAGCCGATCGCCGTCTGTGCTGAGGCTTCTATTCTTAAGATTTCCGGCTAATGATTTTGCAGCGATGGGTGACCTCCCTGGTGAGTTTAACGATCGAAGGTTACTCTGAGATGCAAGAGGAGAATTTGAGATATGTCTTTCCGACGATGGATGAAGACCGAGAGTACCAGAGGTTTGTAGCTTATGTTCAAAAGATTTCGCTAAACGGTTTATGAACCACTTAAGGTGCAGTAATACTTTAGCATGATTGAGCGCAGGACTGTTTAGCATCGTTATCAAGTAAAAGAGAAAAAATAAATAGCAAAGAACTTGAGACGTAGACGATTGATTCGATTTAACACTAATCACAGCGAAGCGATAACACAAGTACTAGCACCAAGGGTTCACATAGCGCGGTATCTGCATTAATCAAATAAAACTATCCTCCAATTTTACAACTATATTTTGATATTATTTTCGAAATAAATTTTTTCAAAGAAAGTCATATTTTTTGTTTTTACAAATGACCTTCACAATGCGATGAAAGATAATTAGGTCCATCTTTTGTTTTGCATAACGTAGGTGTTGTTTTCAGTTCAGTGGGGGTTGTAGTAAGCCGTCTGGTACTAGTCTTCCTTTCCACTTGCTTTTTGAAACCAAAGCTATTGTGCAATTTAATGCTCGCTAGATGATAGCTATCGCTGTTTTTAAAGCATTTCTCTTTTGGTCTATACTGTGTATCGTCTCATATTCTCCGAATTTCTACACTTTTGTGGTGTTTTATCCATGTTATGATATATATTTTGGATTCGACGCTTTGATTCTCATATTTCTACGCAGTAATCTCTTTTCAATTCGCGGTTTTGAATCAGTTCTTGGAATTTTCACGGCTTAGTATTATTTTCAGTGTTGCACATTTATGCGAGTACTTAATTACTACTCTTTCGTCAGCCTGTATGGTGAGTGGTTATGATTCTTTTAGATAATGCCAGCTACTGTAAAGGTGAAAGTTCTTGCAGCTCGAAATCTTCCAGTGATGGATCGGACTTCTTTTCTCACTGACGCTTTCGTTGAGGTTCGTTTTTTGTTATTGTTACTTTAAGGTTCGTCTGGGGAACACTATGTTTAAGACCGAAGTTATTCGACGTACGCTGAACCCCGAGTGGAATTCTGAGTGGTTTTGCTTCGAGGTGATTATTTCGTAAGCAATTTTAATAAGATCATAGCTTAATGAGGAAGCCCTACTCGAGGAAGCACTTCAGGTTCGCGTGCTTGACCATGACACCTACAGTGCTCATGACGCCATTGGTAGGGTGTACCTTGATCTAACACCACTGCTTCAAACGGATCAGAAACCCACTCTTAATGGATGGTTTCCGCTGTATGACACCATGCACGGTAACATGATCATAGTCTTCTTTGTGATACAACCTTACCTTGTCTAGGTATTCGTGGTGAAATCAATCTCACCGTGCGCGTTGATCTATTTCCAGATGCCTGCAGGCAACGGTTCTCATCACTTGGAGTCCAATTCTTCTTTAGTGAGTGTACTATCTTTATCCAACGAGGAACATCTTGGTTAATGCTTAGCTATCTGCATTTTGCTAAATTTCTTCTATAATTTCGACAGCATAGAGGTCAAAGTTTTTTGCGAAAATTCAACTTTTTAAATGAACATTGATGTGAGTGTTTCCGACGTACTGTGCTGGATGTGCGCTGACCTATATTGTAGATCGCCGTCCTAATGAACTGACTGATTTGATCTGCGTTTCTTTTATTCTAAGTGCAATTAAATATCAGCCACTCAATGAAAGTATATTGATATCGTAGTTTATTTTTAACATTGTCACATCCCTCAAGCGATTTGCGCTGTCTTCAGTTTTGAGCTCCTATACTTTTGTCCTCATTCTCACTTGTCAATCAGTGCGGGTGAACCTTCTCTCGTTTCTGCTACTGCTTTTAATGCCGTTTTTGGTAACGCATTGGTATCACAATAGCCTGGCCGGCCAATTATTTACAGGGTCCCGCTTGTCCCAAAGTGCAGAAGAATGCATAGTTTTCTGCGCGAAGATAAAGCTTGAGGAAATTAAAGTTGAATGATTGTTTTCTTTCTATAGGCTCTTCCATTCCTTCAGGCTACAGAGTAGTCAGCCTCATTGGTTTTGTTAGAGAGCTAGTTATGAACGACGATCCAGAGCATCAGTGGATTGAAAAAATTCGGACTTCGAGGGCTTCCAACGAGGCTCGACAATGCCTCTTCTCGCAGCTTTCTGGTAACGGTCATAATTTCGAATCCATTTTGCTGTATGCATCATGTTAATTAGTTTTGCAAAGGATGCTCACTTTCTTCACTAGTTCTCTATGGGCGGCTATTGCCTGATATTCTGCACCAGCTTCAACTCTGTGAGTACTAACGGATTTGATATACCTCTGCTTTTTTCGACATGGAATTTTAGGCGAATTACAAAGCAAGTTGAGTCGAAAGGTTCTTAGCTTGGGCGGAAATGCAGTCCTTGGGTAGGTTTTTCATTTAATTGACTATATAGCCTTCGAGGTTTTGAAGTGCCGCCTTTTTATGATTTCTGTAAATGCATAGTATGCAAATCAACCAGGGATTTGCACTTGGCATAGTACCCGAGGACATAACAGGGATTTAAATGGCGTATTTGTAAACTGACCTTTAAGGAACTAGTCTTCAATCTGCATTTCATCTCAATGGATTAACTGAATAAATGCATTGTTTTTTTCGTATGGCTTTTTTTGGGAATCCCTCAAGTTTCGACAGACTTTCAGACTACTTTGATAAACAAGCATTCAATGAAGTTCTCTTGCGGATTTAGGTATCGTTTACACTTTGATCTGGAGGGCGACACAGGAATTGTGGCACGAGCCATTGGAACTGCTGCTCGACTTCAGCGTTTCCCTCCCAATAACCAACTGGGAATATCGTTGACTGGGAAGTGAGTTATCTTTTCCACTTTTAGCTTCAGTGGTGCTTTTCATATTTCATATAGTTCATATATTTCGGAACCGCCTACAGATTTATGGTACACGTGTGATGTGGTTTCTCTATTTTTTAAGTTTTGGAGAAACGGTATTGAGGTTTTTATCATACCGCTTTCCCAAAATGGCGACTTTTTGGGCTTTATGCTCTTGAAATTGGATGTTAAAACTAATAGTCATGGTGTTATCTTTTCTTGCAACATTGAATTCATGTGGTTCTTCACAGAGAACGTTTTATCGATATTTCCGCAACTGTATAGCCACAAATGCAAAGCTCTTCCAGCAACAATAATTCTTGCTTATATTTAACACCTCTTGAGCACAAAGAGATCCGTTCAAGTGGTGATAACGCGGAGGTTGGTCCGATCGACCCAGCAATGGCGATCCCGTTATTATAAAGTACATGAATGTGGATGAATTACTTGTGTACCAATTGCTGCGATCAGATCTGTTGATTTATCAGATTCTTATTCATAAACCAATAATCAAAGTCTTGTTTTTGAGACGAAGTGAATATTAGCAGGCTAAAATGTTAGCAGGAAAGCGCTGCTCTTGGGAGCACACTAACTTACATATGAAAACTACATCCCTCACTTCGTGCCTTTTAAGTGACTAAGTATTCTTCATGTAAGCATTATGGCAAAACCGAGTTATTCACCCCTTTTAATGTCTTTGTCTTTGTTTCATGCGATTCTATTTTTTCGATTCAACTGACTTTTCTAGTAATTGTAGTCGAATTGAGGATATATAATTTCATTTTATTAAGGTTCGGTACCGTGTAACTAGTACGCAAATGACGGTGGTTTGCAATTGTTTTCTCAAAAGTCTTATATTTCGTGTGTTTCTTATTGCTACACTTTTTGGTAACTGTAGGACGACATTTTCGAGGTGTAGAAATCATCAAGGGAATTTAGTTAGTAATGCGGCATTAGTGGAGTCCTGAGTTAAGCCGAAGTATTTACTAGGATCCAAATTTTTGGCCTTTTTCAAAATTTTACCTAAATTCCACTTTGTTGGTGGTCTCGGAATTTAGATACTACTCTTAGATTCTTGTTTTTCTAATGTTCTTAGTTATTCATACGTTTCCATTGCATAACTTGGTTTATTCTTTTCTGCACGATTTTTTATATGTTTGGAAAGAAGGGATTCTGAAATGGGGTCGAAAGCTCCGGCTCGAAGCGAGAATGATGCTAGAGGTCATGGTACGTCGCGTATTACATGGTTTTGATCTTATAATGCATGTGAACTACAGCGTATTTAGTCGTTTTTCTGGTGACTTAAGCTCATTATTCGTTTCGAAATGAAAGGGCTCGTCTTCTCGACGGGTTTAGAACCGGTTGAAGTTCATAGTTAGCGTTTAGATGTTGTTTAAACCTTTATCTACCATACGAGTGCCATGATTCCGTGTTTGAAATTCAAGCGCCTTTATTTCAAAATCGGAACAACATAATTGTGTTTATTGCCTTGCCTAGGTGGGCACCTTATTTCGTTGCACTAGATCATGCTCTTTACAAAAAGTGACCAGGGCTCAATTAACTTGTGACCTTGGTTAAAATGAGACAACCAACTTTTGCTGATTATCAGTGTATACTTCGCGGACAAAGTATCTTGTATAATCATGAGTCGATATTCCAGTTTATCAATTATTTGCTTGATCAATTGCATCCTTGCATACGGTGATAAATGCTTGATCTTTTTCGAGAAAGCTTGCTGAAATCATGATTTGTGCCTAATCTTCGTTTATTTAATGAATTGGTATGTGCTGGCCTTTGTTCGTTGGTCATTCTCTCCTACTTTGTTTTCTGAGTTTCAGCTGATAACCCCATTGGCGGGTATGCCCTATCTTCTCCCAAACCTCTAAATGATGCGGTAAGTTACCTCCAAATCGTGGTTTTGCGTATTTTACGAATACTAATGGCTTATTGCAAGTCTTCGTTCCTACGTTGCTTTCATTTTCTGGTTGCAACATCGTTCGAACTGTTGTTCCTCGTGTACTACAACTATCTTTCCTATGTACAGCCTTGAAGTTTTGCGCTTTTTGGCCTCAGAACACTTTTTGAGGAAATTATTGAATGCTAACATAGGGGCGCTTATTGTGCATGGTGTTGACTTCGCTCCTACTTTGCTCTTAATTCCTTTTATGTGATGTAATTAATCCACTTTAACTTCGTAGCGGCTTATTTTTTGAACTAAAATACCCATGTGCAAATCCTTACAATGCCGACAAAACACTTGAATAGCTGGGTGGTTGAACGAACTCAAAGCCGTCAAAGCTTGCAATTTCGCCTATCCTTATCTTTTTGCATTCATAATGGTATTGAACGTTTCCTAGCCATTCATGGAAATAATATTGCTTTAAATGTTCCTTTAGGAATTCCCTTTCCTTACAATTTCACACCCACCTAGAGAACTTATCCGCCACTTCGGCAGTACCGTTGTAGCAAAATCTGTCAAACTCTTGGACAAAGGCGTAACAGGTTAGTGCGCCTGTTCTTTATTTCCTCTACCTTCTCGAAGTAAGGACTTTTCCAGGCAGAACCAGCGAACAGCACTTCCTACCACCTAATCATTGTTTGTTGTCCACTTTTCTTATGCACATCAACTTGAAAATGAGTGTTAGCATTGTCAATTTGCTTTCCAACGTAAATCGCTCATTTATTGTGGTTGCCTTTTTGGAAGACCAATCGATTTTAGAACTATAATGCACTAGTAGTTATGGTCATGGATGTCCTCCTTTGCTTACACGTCAAGTTTTTTTTTGAAGATTCTCTTTTTTATTCGCTTTGCGTATAAACTGCATTAGCGCACTAGTACCATAGCGGCGTACCTCATCAAAAGTATTAAACACCTTTCCATCCAAAAGATTGTTTTCCACTGAGTAGCATGTTTCCATGATGTATTAATTACCAGTTGTTTTTTTGTTGGTCCTTGTAAAATACCTGCTTACTTTCGTGATAGATGTCCGTTACGATTGATTCGACTCAATATTCTTTACCAAATACTTCGGTCAAATGATATGTGTAATGTGTAGGGGCTTTAATGCCAATTATCGCACGAAATTTCTATCAAGTTGTGCCGTCCGCATTTAGTGAAAAAAATGGCGTTGAAGTTCTACAGGTGACTTTACTCTACTGATGTGTGTTGCCATCCAATGCAGGGGCATTTGGTTTGACTTTTATGTTTCAAGGCTTTACAGCTCTAAAGTAAACGACTTAAACCAAACTCAGACCGTTCCATTAAAGACTTTCCTGCAATACTACCCCTTGGTAGTGTGTTTTCTTCTGTTGCAGAAACAGCAAATTCGCGCGCAGCTTGGTGGTTGGAACTTCGAATGGAGGCGTTGACACGTATGTACAATGTTGGCTGTGACGCGCTCATCGGCTACTGCGAGGAGTGCGCCATCTATGAGGATATTTGTGTACTCTCTGTCTCCGCCACCGCAGTGACACTTAATCAACTTTGGGTCCACTTCTCCTACATTCCTGGACCTTCTTCTCGTCTGCCTTCTAGGTCATTCTCCTCCAGACAAGGCTGGTGCATTTTCTCTACACTCCTCGAATTATCATCAAACTTTATAAGCTGTTCAAAGATGCCTCGGTGCCCACTTTATCCCCACCTTATTGAGCACCAGGCTATCAATTGTAGAGCTTATTAGGACTCATGGAATTAGCTTAAGCACATAAGCCTGCCATTTATAAACTTATTCGTAACTGGCTGACAGTCTTGTTTCGTTCTCCGTTCCTTAGAGGGCAAGGTCTACAGTAATACTGCATTGAGTTCAAAGTTATAGGTTATAGACTGAGCACTTACTCGCTTCCATGCGACCTTACTTCTTTAACTGCCTAATTGCTTACTATCAGCTGAATCCTTGCGGCTGGTTTTGCTTTCGTCTATTTACTTTGCACCCCTTTTGTGTTGGTGTTGTCTTCAACGGCCATTCAGGATTAAAAAGTGGAGCCGGTAAACCTAAAATTAACGCAATTGGGCTGTTTTATTTTGTGTCTAATTTTGTCCACGTCGAGGCGTCATTCGATTTATCTGTTCAGGGCATCGTCTCTTTGGTGTCACCGTTTGTTGCCTTCACTATCTTCAGCTTTCACACCATCCTCAGCTAGATAAATAATAAATAATTTACGAACTCTGTAAATATCTGAAGTCGTAACTATTGCGTAAAATTAAACTGCATGATTCTTGGTTAGTGCCTCTTTAAGGACGTCAACCAACCAATTTACATGCTAGAATGCTTAGACCCCGTGTTTTAGTTCAACGTTTTGTATTCAAATTACTAATTGTTCTCATTAATCAACCCCACAGTTCGATCAGTCTGACTATTAGCGTCATGGAACTAAAAGTGATTTCTGCATTTGATGTAAAATCTTTTTTTTAGTGTCGCTCTAGAGTCACCGGGTAGAGATGAGGCCGTTGTTCAAAGTAAACGCGAGCACGTCATTAATCCAAGCAGCGATCTTTCTGTATCCCTCAATCCTCAAGGCGACAAAGGGGAATCCCACTCAACTTATCCCAAGTAATTAATATCTCCTGAAAAGACTGTCTACTTTGAAATTCTACGTGGCCTTGATAGATTTGCCACTCAGACATCAACCTAAATGTAAATCTGATTTTACTCTAACATTTATTGCTTGATTATTACAGTCCTTAAGGTTTACCCGTGTTTATATTTACAGTCATCTTAAATTTCAAATAACTTTGATTATGTGCAATGAACTTCTTGATTTATGATTAATTTAGTCACAATTGCAGTGTTTGTCACATACCAACACTGAATCAGGCACTGCCACCCAATAAGTCGAGTCGATGTCGAGTGTGTCGGGTGGCTTTTGTCCCCGAGTTTCTCCTTTCGACGACGGATTTTCCTCCTGAATTGCCTATCGTTGGTAGGCCAGCCTTCATTCAGGTTGGGTGCGTGGTTTCGATTGTTTGTTTGCATAATACTTTTGGCAAACACCGAGTGTGCAGACTTTCGCTGGACTCTTAACTACCAAGCATAGGAAAGATGAAAAGTTTAAATGTATCTTTTTTAAAATCTCATAATGCTTATATAATCGGTATTTCCACTAACTTGATTGCAGGCTTACTATTGCAGACTGAAGCACATATTAAATCGCTCACTAAATTTTTTTAAATATTTAGTTTGAGTCGTTCCAAAAAAGTGGAGAAGGGGGAGTCGGCTGCTCGAGAAATCAGTGAAGTACGTTCTCCTTTGCATATAACCCATTCCGTCAGCTGCTTCCCTACATAGAGTATGAACTACACTACCGACTCTTGCAAAAGCTCAGGGTAGGTATGATAGTTAATGGTGGCAAAATTTTAGCTACGAGGAATGAACGCCATTTTCAGACTCTCTCTTCAGTTGGCCATTGGCGAGGATTTGATAGTCGTACTAGCGGTATGCCACTGTTGTACCTCCCAAACTTTCCGCTGCTAAGTGTAATGCGTCCGTTTGTTTTTTTGTTAGACCGGTACCGGAGTCTATGTCCCAGCCCTTCCATCTGCGCGACTCCCAAAAGTGTGCCCTGTGAGTGGAGTAAGTGGGGTTTGATGTGTTCTGCCTGTCGTTGCATCACAGCTCTCCTATAACCGAATATTTTTTTTAGAACCTCAACACATTGCATGCTGAAATATTGTATAACTTGAGGGCTTTCAACGAAGAATGCCACGAACTATTTGGAATCCCAAAAGTAATCGTTTGTTTCTCCCGGGGTCTTTTTGATTAAACACATAATTGAAAACATCTTCACTTAGACATTTCACCTCCTTCAAGTTTAAAGTTTTATTTACAATCCCGTAAAGCCTCGTTTGCGATTGCAAAAGCTAATATTTTGTCGATGAATATTGATTGAATTGCATGGATTTCAAATTTTCTCACGAAGGATATCCATGAGTCGGTGCCAGCTGAATGGGGTAACGGTCATAGCAGCTCCCTTGAATCTTTGGAAGGGGAAAGCAAAGAGGTCAGGGATGGAGAGATATCGATGGCAGGCGCAATCAAAGGAAAATTAATCTATAATCCAACAGATCCTGTATCGAATGAAAAGGACCATAGTGAACATACGAGCACTTATTTTGTCGACGCACGGGAGCCGGAGCCAGAGGAATTGAATTCTTTACTTAGCGATCCACTCCCACCACCCGGTTAGCCGACCGTTGAACGTTTTTGTCAGGTTCATTACGACGAGCTTTATTTATTTTGTAGAAGTCAATACTGTTTGATCGCTGTTTTCCCTTGTAAAGTGCTAATAAGTTGGATTCTCTTTCAACGGTACCTTGTTTGTAGGGCTCATAGCTACGACAACAGATTTTCTCCCAAGTAACGAAAGTTTCTCTTGGCTCGTTACGATTAAACATGAACAGGGTAATTGCGTCTCCAACACTTGCTCCTGGCGACGTCTTCATTCATTCGTGAAAGTTCACACCATTCAGACTCTAAAGACTGATGATGCATTGGGCTCGATACCCTTGCGCTACCCGCCTAGTGGCTCACTTGGCGGTGACATCTCTCTCCCCATTCTCCACTCCTCAAGTTCATTTGACTCTACACTAAACGTCCCCTCAGCAGATAAGTGCATGACCAAGTGCCTACGTGATTGCAACCAACTCACTTGGTTTCACTTCCGATGTATTATGCCTTGTGCTATCACCTCCCTCAGGTACCGACTAACTATTGTCGATGACGACGTCGTACAAATAATCTGCAGCGGAGTAGCACTTTCTCCATCAAATGATGAACCTGTTTCGCTTAAAAATATTTCCTCGGTGGTACCCGCTAAGCCTGAGGGTCAGAAATCGTCGGTTAGCAATCCACGTAAAAGTCTATTTAACAGGCCCAAGGGTCTTCGAGCAGTCCCCATGATGGAGCTCAAAACGGCAAGTCAGACAAGTGAATCGGAAAACTTTTCCGATCAATCTACAGCGAAGAATTCTAGTAAAAAGACCAGATGGTGGAAACCTTTCTCTAAGGATTCATCCACTACTCGTTTGGTACGTGAATTTGCACCATACGTGTTGCCCATTATCCGGACTCACCGAATTGTAACCTCTTTCCTGTAGGAAGCCTCCAATTCTACCGAATTTCCTGACGGACTAAATTATCACCCAAACTTACAAAATGAGTCGGATACATTTGAAGGGAAATGCATTCTTACGCCTTCTCCCGACATTCGTAACTGCGAAGTAACACATTATTTGGGCAACTACAGTTTCTTTTTTGTTCGAGAAACTAACGACCTGAGAGAGGTGAGCGGGACTGCTTTCAACTTTAAATTATTCATTCAGACCACTTTGATAAACAAATGTTGGACAACGGTAATAGAATACGCTCTGCACTTAATGAGGTGCATGTCCTCCGCCTCATAAATTACCATTATACGCATTTGATGTAGCCATCAACTGAACTGAATCGTTAAAAATCTTGGTTCTAAAATGTTGGAAGAATATTCCCAAGGCTTTTTATCGCAATTGAGCGGCACTACCTGACTTTTCAGATGGGTGGACTGAGGTGCTTCATTCACGCAGCCGTGATGGAGGCCCAAGCGGTAGCAGCAGCGCACACCGTGGGACTCGGAGGGAATGCTCTGCTTTCGTACCAAATTAGTGACTTGCTGATCACAAGACCAACCTCCCGGAACCAAGCCCAGTGTCTCATAAACCTGCGTGGAGATATGGCTCGCATCAATGCAAATTGATCTGGTCGACTCTCGAGTAAATCATGACCATGCTGACCTCCCCCCCCCCCAAAAAGGGGTGTCGCCACATACTCCAATCGGTAGAGAAAATAAGGAATGATATAAGTATATATTGTTATTTTAAACGAATGTTGGCAAAACTTCGGTCTGTGAGAGTCGCTTCACACGAAGCTCCTCGCTGAATTTGTCCAGTAGTTGGCTCTCTACCTCCTGAGATATTGTTTTCTGTGATACAGGATCAGTTAAGTCCCAATTATCAAGCGTCGCGCCATGTAAGCTTAAACTAACATAAACTGGACAGCCTAAGCGTTTGGACAAGCGCATGGCTAGAGTTGTTTCCGGAGTGCTTCGAACGGAAGGGAAGAGTGAATTCTCACAATAGAGGGAAGAGGAGTGTACGGATCCGTTCAAGTTCGGGATGCTTACGGAAATGCCTAAAGTATAAAAGTATGATATCGGTTACCGGAGAATTGGGTGGCGGAGTCTCCGATCCAAAAGAAGTACGAATGGTCAAGTGTCATCGTCAATGCTTTTAAGTGAAGAATTGTACTTGCAGAATCCACTTCTAGGTCGTGAAATTGGACGTGGAAAACTTGATTCTCCTGAAAATAAATGATTGTGTAAGGCGCGTACTGGACACACACGCTTGGCCATACCCAAATTGCACACGGATTCGAGTTGGGCGCACCGCAGAACGACTGGATGGCAATTTCCAACCTGGACCGAAAATTAAAATTGTATAATTATAGTTCCAAAGAGCCAGAATATGTAAAAATCACTATTTTTAAATCTATGGTGTTTGCTTTACATCGATGAGCAACGCAAATTTAGTCATTTATTCGTAAAGTATGTTTGCATTAAAGAAACACGAAAATGTCGCATTTAGCCTAAAGAAAAATTAGTACCTAAGGCGATTACATATGTTAGAGTTAAATGAGAGGAAATATTCATTAGATATGGTCAGAGACCATTCCAGTGCGTAAATCCAATATACCAAAGCCAATGATCGAAATCGGGCATCGTTAAACAATCATCTCAAGCCGATGGTGGTTAATCGCACCCCTGAGTCATCTGAGCTATTCTCTTACTCCTAGTTGACCGAGAAAATGTACTATATCTAAATGACTTCGACCACTATTAGGAGTTTCCAGTGGGCCCATAATTATTTCTTGAACTACACGAGAATACATGTATTTGTAAAGAAAGAGGAGGGATAGGGCCTTAATACGGCTCGAACTCTAGTCTGACCGTATATGTGCTGGACGGATAGAAGTTACCGCCAAATACCAGGTGGCACATAAACAAAGTGTTATACTCTTCTCTGTTTTTAAGCAACGATTTTAACGATCGTTATAATACTCTTTTGCGCTACTTACCACAATGAAATCCTTACTAGAACACCAAGTCAGCCGTCAGCAATCTTATAACTGAGAAATGGTACTAGGTCTCTTCAGCAGCTTCACCAGGTACTAGAGTTAAGTTTGCTGAGTATAGAAATCTTTTTGACGAATTTAAGTCGGCTAGCCCTTTGGAACACTGGCCTAAAACAGATATTAGAGGGGAGCGATTGCACTAAACACCATCCCAAATGTAAGGCGATTCGAAGCGGTGTAATCGCCTGCGTGCAGATGTAGTAAAGGGAATTGTTATTAAGAAACTTTTCCAAATGGAACACAGAGGTGTCGCTTTAGTTTTTGATAGCTTGTCTGTGTCACAGAGCCAAGGTGTAGCCATTTGCAGAAATCAGTCTTAATCCCTTTCTTTTGAGGTTTTTGCACGATCTCCAGTTCGGTGTAGATAATTGTAGATATGTCACATACTGTGGATACTAGAACCGAAGGCGTTATTAAATGTAGTGTTCACTCTTTGCCTAAACCAGTATAGCGTTCCAAGACATTTCACTAGGTAGAAGACATTATGTTGGGTAGAAACTAAGAGATAGCCCCTTTCAGTGGTTCTAAGTCTGTACCACGCGCACATGTACCAGATG